ATTGAGTACATGCTTTACAGTTCCAGATAAACTGAGTTCAAAAGTGTTGGACCAGGTCCCTGGTGGTCTAGTGGTTAGGATTCGGCGCTCTCACCGCCGCGGCCCGGGTTCGATTCCCGGTCAGGGAACGACATTTAGTATAAAAAAAAAAATAGGATTAGGATTTGTCGCTCCCACCATTAGAAAGAAGAGAACATTAAATTAGCCATCACATTTCTTGTTTTATCGGACCAATCAAATGACTTGTTTTAATTGGCAAATCACATATCATATAACTTGTTTCAATCTGCCAATCAGAGGCATGCTACTTTAAATGAACACATGTCTAACCAACAACGTCTCAATGCATGTTTGAAATCACGAGTTCCAAACAGCTTCATCAGGTCCCTGGTGGTCTAGTGGTTAGGATTCGGCGCTCTCACCGCCGCGGCCCGGGTTCGATTCCCGGTCAGGGAACACAGTTTTAGCCTGGCCACTAACTAACGGTCATAAATCAGTAGAAAGATGACGAGGATTTGGCACTCCCACCGTCAGAGATAAGTGAACATTATTCAATTGCAGATTAAAAGGGTTGTTTCAATGGATCAACCCAAAGACTCAGTTAATAATCATCCTTAGCAATTACCAAATCATACTCACTAGAATACAGAGAAACACTTAAATAGTCTAGCAAGTCTTTCCTGAAACTGTTCCACCACAGGTGCCTGGTGGACTAGTGCTATTTTTAGAATATGCCCTGCGGGCGACTCACGGTGCCCCTGCGGGCGACTCACGGTGCCCCTGCGGGCGACTCACGGTGCCCCTGCGGGCGACTCACGTTGCCCCTGCGGGCGACTAAGTGCCTGTGTGCACCGTGTTGGCTACCCCTGGACTAGTGGTTAGGATTCAGTGCTCTCATCACCGCTTCCTAGCTTCGAGTCCCAGTTAGGAAAAGTCCTTTTAGCCTCATGGTCAAAATTAAATAATAAATGTTTTTTTCCAAACATTGAGTGCGTGTCCTGACTCACCACGATTGCAAGGGGCTCTTGTGCTCTCCCTCTGCAGCGAGTGCAGGCTTGTTGAGTCTGCATCGACCACCAATCTCTCCTTGCTGGATGAAGTCCTCCTTGTATCTGCAACATAAACATAGATGAGTTTTTAGACAGCCATAATTTGTCAGTGTTCATTTTTGGTTACATTTTAGCAATACTGACCTCTCATGACCTCTGCGCGGCTCACGCAAGTCCAGATAAAGGTTTGTTGCCTTACAGAAGCGAGTGTGGCTACTACATCTTAGAGAGGAGTCCCCCTGGGAAAATAATAAGAGTAGAAACATGTCATACTTAGAGCTATTATCGCTTAGATTGTGAGTCTCTATTCTATGCTCTCTCTACACTAAAGCCTTTGAACAGCAACTTATGTTCAGGTCTATTGTCTGTGGACCCTTTTGTTCAACACTCTGTGTATTTCTACCTGTTGTTTCTTCCTGTGGACTCAGCAGGCCCGTGGGAACTAAGGAAATGAACGTACTTACTGACTTGGTGGCCTTGCAGAGTGTTTGGAGCTCAGAGAGGCGCTCCTTGACGTAGCCAAAATCTGCCTGCTTCCAGAAAAGCTCCTGGGCGGCCTCCAGTGAACGGGCCCTGACAAAACAAGCACAGTGGTTCAAATATGCATGCTCTGAATGATACACGTCTACTTTGGAAAAAACATGTTGGGACAGTTCATTCAATAAAGATATATACTTAAGATACTGACAGTTGATTAAAATGTGGAAAGTAAATTATGTAAACTGCATAATACTTCTGATAACATAAAGGGTTTTACTATATAATGTGAGGAACAATACCATGCAGAGTCTGCTTTGGTACAGACTGGATAGCTGAAGCGCTTCCCTGGATCACAATGCTTCTCGTATCCCCAACAGACAGACAGATCCTGCAGTGCATCCTGCTGTAAAAACAAGTTCAGCATCAAGAACCTTCTAAAACCACCAACACTTTTAAATAAACGTCATCTATTGAGTTAACTAAACTAATGCAATTGCAAAATAAGTCAGAATAAAATAACTTTACACAGTAGTAGGTATCTCAAACATTACTTTCCCTAATACTCTTTTTACTTCAACACTTGTTAAAGTAAAGTAACCCCCCTTTATGCATTGCTCTAGTCGGGGTAGGAGAAAATGCTCTGCTTTTTTTTCAAGTAACATGAGAACTAAGAGTTATCGATTAAAAATATTGCTGATGTTTGAAAGAAATATGTATCTTTGTGGTAAATGCCACAGCCATGTTTCTTAACCTTTCTAATTGCTCTGTGTGGAGCATCAGTGTCACATCGACATTTAGCCACATTGCATTGTACTGATTGTACATGATTAAAAAAAATGCAACTGAGAGAAGTCCATGAAACAATGTGCTACAACTAAATAACACACAACACTAACAGAAATACAATTTTACAACACGTTTCAGGTCATTAGTCAAGAGCTTTGTGAGAGCTCTTCCTCACAGCAAACCTACCTAACATGCTACCTCCCTACGCATAGGACATATTTCAACAGTAAAGAGTTGACAGAGTGCATATCTTACTTTAAAAGGGCAGAGAGGGTCCAGGCGGCATTGCTTGGCAACCCTCTTGTTGTTGTAGAAGTAGTAGGGTAGGTGCTCTGGCGGCAGGGAGATGCTGCTGTAGTTAAGCAGCGGTGATAGTGGATTCTCGTTGATGCTCTCAGCTCTCTCAGTGGTGACCACAGTGAACGAAAAAACTATGCCCAGCGCTACCAAGAGCAGCATAGTCAGAAATACACAGACATGTGAGACAGCCGCCTTTCTCTTCACGGCCCTCTGAGGAAGGAAGAAAAAAGTAGAGGAGACGTTGACTCTGTAATCGTGGTGGAAAGCCTAACACTACAGTTTACAAGCATGTGGGCACAAGAAGCAAAGTGTGTGAGAGCGTAGCCTCAGGCGGGTCTGAGCGCCTCATAAGGAAAGGTCCTGTTGCAGGAAGTATTACTGACCTGTTTCCTACTGTTGTCTGAGCGATCATAACGGAGATGGAGGGGTGACTAAAAACTGCTGGCTGGTTACAATCTCACCTATGAAGTACTTTAACAGACAGTCATATTTACATGATACATTTTTCATGTCTCCAGTATGCATGTGCTACCACAGCCCAAAGCCACAGACATTCTTTACACACACAAAAAAGTAATATTATGTGGCTGCTGTTATTAAGTGCTGTATAACAATGGCTCTCTTTCCACAACTTAATGACTTGGGAAGGACTTATGTTGCTTGTAACACAATTCTAATGAGTTGTGACCAATAGGTTGTTAAGAGTTATCACCAGTCATTTATTAGGTGGAGCTACTTGGTTAAAGTAAACTCTTTGCCATGGGCGTAACAGGATGTAATGAGATTATTGAAACTCCTGTGCTGCATTAAAAAAACAACATTTCTGTCTATTAGCAGTGGTGTACTGTAAAGTAACTAAGTACATTTAACTTAAGCACATATTTGAGGGACCTGAGTATTTCATGTTTGCTACTTTGTACTACACTACAAGTCAGAGGTAAATAGTGTACTTTTACTCTTTAGTTACTTTGCAGATTATGATTAAATAAGACTTTAGTTACAACTGGAGTAACATTAAAAATATATGCGATTGGTTGTGTACTTGAATGCAGGACTTGTACTTATAACAGAGTATTTATATACTCCTCTGATGTTACTTTTCAAGGAGTTACTTGGTCAAAATAACAGTAAACACTCTTTGCTATGGGCGTGACGTGATGTAACGGGATGATTACAACTCCTGTGCTGCATTAAAAAACAACAGTTATATCTATGAGACATGTCAACAGCAAGCTACATGTTAAAACCATAGATGGTTAAAAAACGGTGATACAAAGCAGGTCTTTCTTTTCTTTTTTACAAGCCCTAGTCAACTTCATCCCTAGGGTTGTTTGTTTTTGTCGCACGTAGGTTCACAGAGAAGAAGCACACTTCATTTTGGACAGCTCATTACAAACAACATAACTCCCAAACTCTTGGCTTTTAGTCAATTAGTTAACCAAGCGTTAAGATAGCGTTAAGATTTGCAACCCGTCAAGACACGCTCAGTGACTTGATAGGCATGCATGAAGTAGGATAATAAGGAGATAATAACGCACTTGTTACCCTTTCATGTGGTTGAATGTGAAAATACTTAATTTGAGGCTAATGTCTGAATTGTACATGTGGCGGCTAACATGTAGCGTTCACAAAGACCCCTTCACGTTAACTCAAGCTGTAACTGTAATAGTAAAACGACAGAGAAGGAACATATACAGCCTTTCCACGGTGCAAAACACTTGAGACGGACACAAATGTGCATAACAATGGTCTTTCAAATAATGTTTGGTTGAGTTTGAGTGAGAAGGGGTTTACCTGAAAGCAAAGCCGGTTGTTTTCGAAACAGAAGCGAAGATGTTGCCGGTGGTCGCCATAACACCGGAAACCTCATGCCGGTCTGTAGTGCGCAGTGACGGCCACAGGGGGGCGCTGTCTACCGCACTTATTTTCTTATAGACTGGTTTACTGTAAATGATCATATCCAAATCAAGATATATTTTAATGTTATATAAAGGTACATTTATTTTAATGTTTAAAGACTGGTTTACTGTAAATGATCATATCCATATCAAGATATGTTTTAATGTTATATAAAGGTATATTTATTTTAATGTAATATTTATGCTGTTCCTTTTATTGTTTATTATAGTTTTTACAATATGTTTCTTTAGGGAAAAGGTGAGTGAAAAATGGACCACACACGTACTATATGTATTAGCATTACATCTTCTAATGATCTTTTACTGTAAATGGTCACATCAAAAGCAATATCAAGATTTGTGTTTATTATTATTTTATGTGATATTATGAAGGGCTCAGAAAATGCAACAAAAACAAAAAAAACGTCAATCTTAATCAAATTGAATCTGCATGTTTAGTACATTAATAAATGTTGGGACAACTGTATGAAATTGTTCAAATGATATTTATTTGAAGACTTTTGTGCAGCATCGATGGTGATGTAGTGTTCTGTATGGATGCAATGAAAATGCAAACTTTTAATGTGTGAATCCAAACAATTCAAATTAAGAGTAAAAGTATTGTTCACCACCCAGATAAATGTTTATTCATTTACATATATATAAGCTGTAGAATCCAATTTTCAGGATTTCAATCATGGACTAATCTAAGGTCTACACCACATTTTGTGATTTGCAAGGAGTCAAGAACAATACATAAAGGTCTCTGTACAATATTTTTATATATTTCTTCAACTATTTTGAATAAAGAAATAAAGAAGGATGAATTTCTATAGTGCAAAAAACTTAAACCATCTCGTACAGTCTGTAGGAAACTGTCTACAAGCTACTATGTAAAAGGTTTAATCATGAGAAATGATTTCTAAAGATCCCAAAGACTTGAAATGGTATCCTTCATACTGGTTCCGTAATAATAATATAATAATAATGTATTGTATGTAATGCAACACCCCCGCTTAAATATGTTCCTTTAAAATAAAATAAGAGATAAAGATAAAAGAACTTTCCTTTGACACAGTGATTAAACTTAAATTATCTGTCTTTGGGACTGCATGTGTGGCTATGTTGGTTGATTGGTTTGTTGATAGTGTCCCAGAATCGACACAAGAACAGTAAAAGTTTATTTCTGGTTCTTCAGCAGTTCGTCTATCTGGCATTTGTACATGTTCTTCACGTCTATCAGGTCCAGTCTCAGCTCTTCTGCCTCTTCGGCTTTTTCTCCGTACATCTGCAGGATGGTGTTGTGCCTCTGCTGCAGATCCTGCAAAGCACAGCCACACACATCAGAAACACACTACACTACAGCATTCAAGAATCCTGTGTTTGCTTTTATAGCACTTACCTTGAGATGAACTTTCAACGTGGGAATCTCCTTCACCATCTCATCCATCTCATCGGTCTGATTGGTCAGTCGGACCAGCTCTTCTGCCATCACAGAACGACTCCTCTCTAGACTGGAGATCTCAAGCTGAAACAGCAAGAGAACAGAGAGAAGGTAGTACAAAAACACAGATTATTTCATGTTAAAAATATATGCATCTTTAACCTTAGATAGTGAACACCACATTGCTCCTGTAGGCATGACTACGGTATTGAAGTGTATGTTATTTTGGATCAAAGTGTCAGCCTAATAAAATGTAAAAATGTTTCTTATTTTGCAAACCTGTCTATAAACCCCTGGCTGTATCTAATGTAGATTGCCATATCTGTAAACCCACCATAAACAAATGAGACAAAGACACAGTATTTACATTTGTATTCAACGATAATTTGTTAATTATTTGTTCCCTCTTTTGGAGGTATGTTTTACGTTTGGTTACTGTTTTTGTTCCTAAATCTCTAGCAAAATAATTACTACTAATTTTGGTGTTGATACTCGTTGTTTTCCAGATGTTTCATTATTTAATTTGAAGGAAACATAAGTATATTTTAGCCAGCCTTCTGTCCGCAGAAAGCTTGTGCTGACGTTAAGCAGTACAATCAAACTAACACTAAACATACTTTACATATGTATGTAGCTCAGTTAAAAAACACTACCTGCAGTTGAGCGATCTCTCCTTCTCTGAGTTTGAGCTGAGACTGCAGGTTCTCCATGATGCTGGAGCCCCCCGACAGCCGGGCGGCCTCGTACAGGTTGGTCCCGCTCATCGACATGGACATGGTCATGTTACCAAGAGAGTGGTCTAAAAGGTCCTCCTGAGGAAGAAAGAGACAACGTACAGCGTCGGTTAAACTCCATAAATCCCAGTTTCATCCCACAGGCCATAAGACTGTTAAACACCTGAACTTTTGAAAGAACATCCATAAGTTCGCAACTTATATATATCAATATTCCAATTACTTGTATATAGACAACTTTGCACTATTATATTATATTCCATTTTATTTTATTTACTTGCACTATTATCTGTTTTATTGTGCTGCACTGTTGGAGGAGCCTGTGACCTAAGCATTTCATTGTCATAACTACACTATGTACAAATGACAATAAAAGCCTTGAATCTTGAACCTAAATCCAAGCTTGTGCAAACCTTTTTTTTGTTTTGGGCCAGATTAGCCTTTATTGGAGATGACAGTGTTGAAATGGGGGATAGAGGGGATGACTTGCGTACATGGTCCCAGGCCGGATTCGAACCTGGGTCCTCCGCATGGGAACTAAGTCCCTAGTACATGGACCGCCAGCTCTACCAGGTGAGCTATATGGCGGCCCGCTTGTGCAAACTTTACCTAATTTCTACATTTGAACATTTGTCTCAGTGTGTACCTGGGAAAGAATAGAGGAGTGTAGAGCAGCGTTGTCCGGCACACTGATGGAGCTGGAGCGGGACAGGGAGGGTGTGGAGGACGCCGGGGGTTCTCCTACAGAGTGAGTCATGGCCTTCCTCTCCTGATTGGGACATCAGTCACAAATATTAGAAAATAAAAACATCTGATTAAATTCTGGTGATAAACCAGATTTATAATCTCGAAAAGCTCCTCCACCTTTTCCCTGAGAGCTTCATTAACCAAGTAGCATTTCTTCTTCTCTTGCTCCACCTTCATCCTCTCCATCTCTAACTGATTGGTCAGCAGCAGCTGGTGGAAGAAGCAAAAACATGAACATGAGGCAGTCGTTTTTTTACAGAAGAGAAGAACAAGAGTTAGTGAGGACAATCATGGTACCTTTTCTTTCTTGGTTTCTTCTAGCATGCGGTTGTGCTCTCCTCGCAGATTTTCTAAATCAACATGCTCCCTATATTAAGAAAGAAAACAAGAAAATAAGTATGTTAAAGGTAGGGTAGGTAAGAATGGAGAAACCAGCTCGAGTGCGCTAGAATTTGAAAGTACGCAGCCGAAAAAATCTGCCCCTTCCTTCAGACTTCCTCACAGAGCCCCTCCTCCAACACACACGGACGCGCACATGACCAATGAGGGCACGAGATAAGTTTGTGCACAGATGGAAGGCTGACAGGCAGGTAGGCCATCCAGTTACTTTAGCCGGCCCGGCTCAGATGATTGGTCGTGCTTTTTACAGCGCCACGGCTTCCACAGATGACCTTTTGTTTATGTATTTATTGTCAAAGCATTTAATGTATTCGTTGCTATCGGGATGTTAAGAGCATTCCATGGAATATAACAAAAAGTGTTTCTGAAGTGAATTACCTACCCCACCTTTAATCAGTCAACAGTATCAGGGATTAAAAATGTGTAAAATACTTGCCTTGTTCTTATAACTGAATAAAATCAGCATATAATGAAATCGAATGACAATTATCTATGAGCTTTCCCACTGAAGAAGGAGCTACAGTGTTTATTTCAACTGTGTTTTGTGTCCTATTTTCAAACTTTCTCAAAGCCCTGTGTAGGTGAGAGGCCTCAGGGGCATTCTTTTGGACCATTAAGAAATATTGTCTTCCTATGTAAATGCGGTTGTGCTATGTAAACTAAACTTGCCTATGATATCATAATGCACTGCACTGAATAATTGAAACCTTTCTGCAACAAAAACCAAAAAGCATCCGAGCCAGCCAGGATTTGAACCTAGAATCTTCTGATCCGTAGTCAGACGCGTTATCCGTTGCGCCACTGGCCCAGTTGCAGCTGCCTGACATCTCACAAAAGATAACCCCGTGCCTCAAAGGCCTCGACAACTCGACACGCATGACTGCTCGTGTCAAAGGGTAACCCCCCCCTGGCCCCTGCTTCACTGACTCATAAAGCAATATGTGGTGAAACAGAAAAACGATGCCAGTGAGTTTCACGCATTCATGTGAGACATCTAGCAGAAGTGAGATATTTACTGTGAAAGACATTCTAGCATAACATTCACTGCTGGGGCTACTCGTGTTTTGAAATAAGGTTTAAGGAGAACAATGACCAAAATAAAACTAACTGCAGACACGATAAAACACTACCAGCATCTACTGACAGTTAGCTCTGGGGCTGCTATTTGCATTATAGATTTATCTTCCATTTACTTTCTACTTTAATAAATGAAACGTTGCTGTTCTATTGTTTCTCCTTGTTTATCAAAGTCTAAGGTAAGTCCTAGAGCACCGAGGTATCATACAGTAAAACCTCCTTAACCATTTGAAAGCCAGACCATTGTTTAAAGGGGCACTATTATACCAGACCATTGACATGCACAAAAACCTATATAATTCTACTACAGGAAGGGAAAACCCTAAAATATCTTAAAAAGACCTCTTCAAATTAAGTCGATGAACCCAACCATAAAGAAATCAAACTATAAAGAAACACTTTGAGATTAGACCAGTGAAATAAGAGAACAATACTAGGTGACAATGACTGGATGTACCTTGTCATTGAACCCTGTAAACTCCAGTTTAAGCTGTAATTTGTTACCTAGTGCTCTCATCCTCCAGTTTATCTCTCTTGTTCTTCTCAGCCTCCAGCTGTGCGAGGAGCCGGGCCTTCTCCTGGCGGAACAGGGAGATCTGTGACTCCAGAGAGGCCTGCTGGGACCTGATGGACAGGAGCTCTTCACTCGCCGACCGCTCCCTCTCCACCGCAACGGCCAGCTGCGCTTGGGCATCCGCTGTGGAGAAGAAAGGCGTTGAATCACTCACACTTATTGTTTGTTTCACACAGACAGTTAATATGTCCTTCCTCTTACCTAGCCTATCAGAGATGCTCTTCTCCAGTTTCTCCCAGGATGCCGTCTGTCCGCCTAAGGAGGCCTGCAAGTTCTCAATCTGTCGCAGAAGGGGCCGCGTTGCCGAGGTAACACTCTGGCTGAGCTCCTGGTTCCTGGTCTCTGCCTCCTGAAGCCTCTGTGGAAGATAAAGAAAATGGCATCCAATAAATACATCTATTTTGAACAGCTTATTATGCTCATGCTTATTATATGAGCATGTTATGTTACCTGCTGCAGCTCACTGATCTCCTCCCTCAGATAGTCTTCCTTCCTTCCTTGCTGTTGCTCAGCCCTCTGCAGAGCCATCCTCAGGTCCGCCACCTGTACACAGAATTAGATTAATAAAGGATGTCATGTTAAAACGTGCAATGTTTTTATACTTTCATGTCATGAATTTTAACTTCATTATTTATTATTTTTTATTTCTTCTTACTGGGGTGTTTCAAAACAGGTGTACATAAAGATAATTGTACCTAATATACGAGATCACGTGCACACAGGTGAATTTATTTACCTCGTTATATGACTCTGAAAGTCATTGTTATTGGGCTTTATTGGATAGGTGGGTGAAGGGGCTTTTTAAAACAAGCTTTACTAACTTGGACTATTTTGTGTTGGGCCATTACATACAATCCAAATAAAAATCAATTGCAGGTTTTAATGCAATCAAATAAAAAAACATCAAGGGGTGCAGGGACGCGGAATGGGGGGGTGATGAGGGGCTGCAGCCCCCTCATCACTGCCTAGCCTTTGCCCAGGCCTTGTTTCTCTCATGAAGGAGACTGGACAGATTAGCAGAAAACCAAGGATTGTCTCGTCCCTTCACTCTAAATGTACGCAGGGGTGCATGTCTATCAATGATCTCCATAAAACCAAGATAAAAATAAGACCATGCAGTTTCTACATCAGCACACAGATCGATTTTACCCCAATCAAAATCAAACAGATCATGCACAAAACCCTGCTCCACAAAATGTTTTTTGTCTCTCTTAATGATAATGCGAGGTTTAACCTTTTGGACCTTAGTGTCCCTAATTGTGGCTACAACACAGTGATCACTCAGATCATTTGCAAATACTCCCACAGATGAATATTTATGGGGAACATTAGTTAAAATGAGATCAATTAGGGAGGATTTATTAGGGGACTTAATGTTAGGGCGAGTAGGACTGTCAACAATCTGAGTAACATTTAAAGCGATACAAGGTTTTTAAAATCCTCTGACACTGCAGTTAACCAGTCCCAGTTAAAATCTCCAAGTAGCACTATTTCCCTGTAGTCTAGTTGTGATAAAAGATTTGCTAGTGAAGACAAGGAGTCTTTGACAGCTGAGGGGGGTCTGTAACAACTCACTACCATGACCTGTTGACCCTTTGCCACTTCTATATTTAAGGCTAAAAATTCAAATTGCTTACTGATCGATTTGGAAACTAATGTGGTTACACTGAACTTATTCTTAACATAAATGGCAACGCCACCACCTTTATTAGGCCGGTCGGTACGATACACATTAAAACCATTTAAGGCAATGTCAGAGGCCAAAATAGATTTGTTTAGCCATGTTTCTGATAAAACAATGACGTCAGCGTCAGTCGAGCTCGCCCAGATACGGACAAAATCTAGTTTACCTAACAGACTGCGCACATTCAAGTGGATGAAACCCAACCCAGACCTAGCTTTAAAATCAGCAGGAGTAGCGATCTGACTACTACTACTGGGCGGACCAGGGTTAGGTTGTACATTTCCTGACAGTAATAACAACAACAAAACCAGGCATCTTTTCCTCTTAAACGACACACATACATTGTCATCTAATGTATATGTCTGGTTTACTGTCCTATAGTATACATTGGAATGATTTCAAACCTGTTTTATCCCAATAATTATAAAGGAGTGCCTTGGAAATATGTGTTTACATAAATTGTGATCAAAACGTTTGAGACCCACTGAGATAACTTAGACTAAAGTGAACTATCTAAACACTCAAGAGTCCTTTACCTCACTGAGCTGTAGTTATCAGCCTCTCAGTCTGACTGGAGATGACTCTCCCTCCACATCATTGTAGAAACATCTTCTTCTTCCGTTAGAGCCTATGGTTAGAGCAGCTAGCACCAGATGCTAATAACAACAGCGCCGGTTCCAGTGCACCCTCCCTTTCTCCCTCGCTCACTCGCACTTTGGCTGTGAGCTGCGGGCGCCAGATAAGCCAACATCCCCCATTTTCATCACTTGCAGCGCCCATCGTACGGGGCGAATGAAACGTGTAACCGGGGTGAAAAGGGTGTTACATTTACTTAATTATGAATGTTGTTACATCAAGGCCGAAAATTAGGATGAGCACCAACGGTCAAAACATTTGTTTTCCCTCCCAGAGCTGTCAGCGCAGCGCCTCCCAGATCTGGCGCCCTAGGCGAACATCTATAACGCCAGTGCAACGGGCCGGCCCTGGTCTCAGGTTACGCTGTAGGAAGTGTCGGTACAACGCTACATTTCCCGCCCCACCGCAGTCATACAGTAGGCTACGGAGAGCGGCGAGAAACATTTCCTCAGGCATCGAAAAGCGGAACCGAAATTCACATTTCTAAATGATGCCGTTGGAATCGAAATGTTGGAACCGGTTCTCGGTACCCAACCCTAATCACAAGAGGTGTATTGAGGCTGCACAAAAGTCTAATATTTACTTTAAATGAATTCTAATGATCCTCTATATGCATAGCAGACAAATATACTTCCCAAGCCCGTGTTACCTGATTGGCCAGAGCCTCCTGTTGCATCCTGCCCTCCTCCTGGTTCTTCTCCAGGGCCAGGCTCAGCAGATCCTTGGCCTGTGTTTCTCTGGTGAGAGCCGCTTCCTGAGCCTCACTGGCTCTGCTGACCCCCGCCTTGTGAAGCTCTGCCAGCTCCCTGACAACAGAGACGTACAAGTACACCATCAGCTTCATGACCTCACTACAGTGCCGTCCCTATTTAGAAAAAATACCTCTCATTCGTACTTCAGCCCCCTGGATTTGAAACAATAACAATGGGGTATACCTGTCTTATTCTATTTTAACGTGTTTTATTTTGATGCTGTTGGCTCTTAAATGACTATTTTTAAAAGTGTTTAAACATAATTGTAATGCACTATATCTTAATGCTTTAATTTATTTGTTGTCAAGCACTTTGAATTACCTCATATTGAAATGTGCTACATAAATAAACTTGCCATGATTCATCATTTAGCTATATGTTTTTTTTTAAATATTACTTTAGCTCTCCTTCAAACTGAAACACTATGTATACAAATGTTAACGATCCCAGTACTGTTAACCAATTTTAGATCTAACTAGCCTAACATTTGAGGTGGAAGCCTTCACTTGAACCTTAAATTCATTGCATCGTTTCAAATCAATAAGGTCCCACCAAGTGTCTCAATTCCCAAATACTTAGTCAGTGCTGTATATTCTGTCAACCATGAAATAATATAATGATATTTAGAGTGCAGTACAATACAATGTCTGGCTCGTGAGGTTAGATTTACAGTCAGAGTCCTTGTTGTGATTATTGTGTATCAATATCAGGGTGTGTCAGTGTTTACTTGTAGGAGTTGTCCAGCGCTGCCTGCAGGCTCCGGTTGTTCTCCTGCAGCTCCTCAGAGTCCGTCTGCAGCCGGCTCACATCCTTCTCCTGCCGCTCCACCACCGCGTTCAGCTTCTTGATGTTCTCCCTGTGCTGTTTCTCCACCTCCTCCTTCCCATCTAGAACCTTAATGCATAAAACGTGGAGAAAATCACAGCCATGACTTCAAAATGGTTTAAGTTTATCATAACTAGCACTGTATGATCATGAAAAGTAGCTGAGGACCCACTATCATGTCATGTTTATTTAAAGATAACAGTAATGAATAGTGGTAAATCAATAACGCACAAATACAAAACATTTAAATATACTTTATTCTTTAGCTTTACTGAAAATAAAAGGGAAAAAGGAGTCACATTTGGCAAAGAACTACAGCACTAGGAGATCCTAATAAGAGGTTGTAGGTTGTTTTTTTAGACACACCTCTTACTCAAGCCTTGTGCAATACATGAATGTCAACCATTATGAGCTTACTGCATCCATCCTCATGTTAAAACCGGCACCACAACCTGCTATGCCCATCCTTGAGAAAACTAGCAGGACGAATTTAGACAGCCTGAAGAACAGGTTTTAGATTTTTGAGTACCCACATGCTGCTTAATGGAGCAATCGAATATAAGTTAGCTGGAGTTAGCCTAAATGTGCTAGAGATAACAACCTCCAGCAACTTGAAATGTTACCTCAAAGACCACTTTTCACATCTACATGACACAGAAGCCAATTGCCAAGATCGCCCGTATTGCCAGCATCAAAAAGCAGGCATTTAACAACAAAGTCATTTTCATTTTTAGATTCCCATTTTTTTAATGCACTAAAATCTTACCTGCTGCAGTTGCCTGAGCTCCTCCTCCTGCTCCTTGATTTTCTTCTGTTGCTTTGTGATCCTTGTGTCGCTCTCCTTCTCTTTCACACGCAGCTTCTTGATGATGTTGCTGTGCTGCAGCTGCTGCTTGGACAACTTCTCACCTAAAAAGAGAAAGAAATAAACTCCTGCTCAGCCAACTTAGGTGAACACAGATGTGGTAACAATACATACATACATAGACCAGCTTTTTTTCTCCCCTCCCTAACTCTCGTCCTCAAGATTGATGTATGCATGACTTCTTCCATGATAAACAGTGTTTCCATACATTGATTTATCCACAATTATATATCGTCCACAAACTAATGGATGCGATTACTTTTTTTCTCCTTTTTTTGTGGTCTAATGGATAGTGAGGTGGGCTGATGATCGGAAGGTTGCGAGTTCAAATCCCGCCTGGAACACCACTACTCGTGTGCCCTTGAGTAAGGCACTTAACCCTCAGTTACTCATTACATTATTACATTGCATTTAGCTGACGCTTTTATCCAAAGCGACTTACAATAAGTACATTCGACCAAGAAGATACAAACTTGAAGAAAACAGAATCGTATAAGTACATCAGGTTTCATAGAGCCAAACATTTCAAGTGCTACTCAACTGGCTATAGATAAGCCAGTCATTAGTATATAAGTGCTCTGTTAGTAATTCTATCGCTCGAAGTGGAGTCGAAAGAGATGAGTTTTCAGTCTGCACCGGAAGATGTGTAGGCTTTCTGCTGTCCTGATTTCAATGGGGAGCTCCTGGGAGAATGTCCCTGTAATTGGTCATTGTAAGTCGCTTTGGAATATGGAGTCTGCTAAATGCCTAAATTGTAAATTATATTTTTGGGGTTATAAACCTCAGATCCTCAACTCCGGTGTGTCTCACTCAACACAGAGCAACAAGAACGTTGTCTACAGTAGCCATGAACTTGCATGTATTTTCTTATTTGGGGGGGGGGGGGGGGGGGGGGTGGATGCGTGGGCCACCCGAATAGTTTAAGGGGCCTTTGGCTTTTCTTGCCGGGGGGGGGGGAATCAAATTGTGTGGGAAACACTGATAAATGATTTGTTTTAACTTTAAAACGATGATGCTTAGACTTCTCCATTTATTACAATAGCAGGGTATATGCAGGAATCCTGAAGTCAAATGTAATTCTTTTAAGACCTTTTTTAAGACCCTTTCCATACATTTTAAGACCTCATCGCCACTTGGAGTTTTAACCGGTTACATTGGCGACACACTTTACCTCACATTGACTATATACAGTATTGATTGTCCTTCCTCCTTATCTTCCAACCATTTGGACGCAAACTTGCATTTCCCCATAACGATGTTGCTTAGCAACCGGCGTAAACGGACCTTCACGCTATCAAGCAGTGAGCGTGCGATGTCCTGTTCAGATGACGTCACATCCAACGGGATGCCATAAATAACACAGAATCACACAACACACCTACGCAATGGTTACATTCAGGCAGACTGTAGAATACAACCTCTTTGGACCATTTATATACTTATTGAAAACAAGCTACAAAATGTAATACCTTGAAAATGATGTTTAATACTTTTTAATAGCCTTAATTTTCGCTAAATTGATTGATCAACTTTTAATACTTTTTAAGACCCCGCGGACCCCCTGAATAGTCAAATATGAAAGACACGTCTCTCTGGTATTGATGCCGTCTTAAAACTTTTTTTACAAGATGATGAGGGATATCTAGCTTGCAAATCTTTACACTGTTATTAGATATCTGACACATGTTGGCTCTCCAGTTATTGAGGGACAGCTTATCTTTTCACATCCTGGTGGTAAATGACCAGTCTTATCTTTATAGGCCACAACCCTGCATCATGCCTACTCTTTATTCCTTTTGTGTGAAACTTGGGTAACTTCTCTTTAGGTAAATCAAGTTAAAGGAGCTTTGGTACCAATTATACAACTGGCTACATGTTAAAAGGGCCTTGACTGTATAGGTTTAATTGTGTGGGCTTGTGAAGGAGAACAATTATAGCCTTCAAATATAAAAAATGACCTTCTTCCAGCAGGCCTCTGATCTGCTCTTCCTTCTCTCTGATGATCTCCAGTGTGTCGCTGGAGTGAAGTCTTGTAGAAAGCTCGTCTCGCAAGCCCTTTATTTCCTGTGGCATAGAAAAATGAACACAAAGAAGATAAAGATTTGTTAGTTGTACAAATTGTTTTGCTTTTGTAGCCTTATTTGTGTGGTGTAGAGCCTCAGATGACTCGGATGTGATGTACCTTCTTGGCTATGTCTCTCTCCTTGCAGGCCAGCTGAGCCTTCCTCTCTGTGTCTGCTATGCGCTGAGTGAACTCATCCTTCAGGGACTGAACCGTGGAGCTATCCTCCTTCAGGCTTATCACTTCACTGCAGGATGAACACACTCATTAGTTGAAGATAGCTTAGTGTCAAAATCCATACAACCTTAAGCCAAGACAGCTTTTAAAACTCTGCACAAGTAGTTACAGCATTTAACAATCATGTTGCCAATTGAAAACACTAAACCATTGTATTTTCATAGAAACAACACATGAGCCGGAACATTTATCCTTTGGTAAAAATAGCTTCCTTATCATGATCATTGTGCAGCAGGTGTGTGTGCCATACACTCACTCTTTGAGGTTGTCACACTGCTCCTCCAGCATGGCCTTGTCCTTGCTGACAACCAGAAGCTGAGACTCTCTCTTCTCCAGGCAGCCTGACAGATCATCAATCACCTACAACATGTCCACAACATTTTGTCTTTACAACGACATTCGCACAGACAATCCGGTTAAAATACAACTTACTCATTTTAAAACTAGTGTGGTAGAGCTTAAGGTTACCTTCTTAAATTAGTATAACAGATAGTTCTGGGAGAACTTGTATTTGACCATAGAACATTTCTGAAAGGATATTGGCAGGTAATTTTTAAACAAAATGGCAAAATTGAAGTGAAAGCTATTAGACAGGAGAAACACAAAGTCTTGCTCTAGATAACACACAATGGGATGAGTTAAAAAGATGATATGGAAATGTGACATGACCTTCAAGTATCTATGTGCTTCTATTATGCATTCTTTGGAAGTCTATCCAAAGAGCTGAGTTGGTTTAAAGGAAGACTTCACACATAAAATAAACATTTGAATATCAACAACTCACCCGGTGTTAACTTGAATTGTTGAAGAAAACGTAGTCTTGATGAAAGCCTGTTTATAATTAAGTGTTTTAAGTAGTAAGGTTTAAGCCAAAATGCATGTGTTTGGGAAGTAGTGATTATGCAACTGGATCAATGAGACCTGGATATACTGGAAGAGTTGTTTGATAGTTGGTGAGCAGATGTTTTAATATAGTTGTGCTGTTGTTAAACGTGGCCATACTACTCCCTAGGACTGTGGAGGACATTATTGAATTGTTCGGTCACCATGGAAGCAAGATTTCAAGATAATATAGGTCGATTCATTGAGTAACAAATGGTCATTTTGTAAGTGAAGTATTCCTTTAAATGCATTTTTTGAAAGGATAAACTTACATGTATACTTTACACATGACTTTCAGAGTAGTTTAATAATAATGTACCATATACGCAACTAATCTATGACTAGCAAGTTGAACAATAAACTCAACTATATGGACTTTGTAACATATATACATACAATATTTAATAACTGCTACCTTTTGAAGCTCCAAAATCTGAACTGGGGAGACACTTTTCATCTCTGCAGTGATTGGTGGAGCGATCTGTTCGTCAGCGTTGGAGGCGGGATCAGACAGAGTGACATTCGCCTCAGAGTCCTGCTCCTGCTCCATCAACTCTTCAGGCTGATCACTATTAACAGGCGTCGCACTCCGGCCACTCTCCTCCATCTCATCCAGCGACTGCTCCCTCATTGTGTCTGTATAGCCCTCTTCCTCCCTTTCCTCCTGTCCTAAATTCTCCTCCTCTCCATCTTCCTGCGTCTGACACACAGCTGATGATACTGTCAAAGGAGGAGAGCCCGTGGTGACAGACGCTAGCGTCCGACTGCCGGGGATGTCATCGTCCGAGTTAACCTCGCTGACACTCCGGCTGTCCAACGACTGAACACTGAATGAATCTATGCGCTCGAATGCGTCCGAGGAGGAGCCGCAGCTCTCTGTGAGTTTGGAGTAGTCCTCCAGATGGGGGAAATCTCCACAGGTGGAGGCCGTGAGAAGCTGAAAGGAGCCCTGCATCAGGTGAAGGTCGGCCTTGCCCTCCCCTGTTTCTTGTCTGGAGCTGGCTGAGCTCTCACTCAACACTGACTCGTGGTCAAGCACTTCAATGTCACTGGTGGTGGAGGTTCCTGATGAGAACGCGCTGACCGGAGGAGAGGGGGTATCACTTTGACGGTCCTCCACCTTTGAGTCTTTATTCTCTATGAGTATTTCCTTAGAGGGCAGAGAAGGCAAAGGATCAGGGGGAGTAGAGCTCTTAAGTTCAGAAGTGACAGCAGCAGGTTCACAGGAATCTGTGGTATCCTGCTCCACCTGGAGATCGGATGGAGGCTGTGACTGCTCTGGTGTGGAGTCTACAGAAACTGTAGAGCCGATATCTGTTTTGTACATCGCTCATTTCGCTGTCAGGAAGATCGCTGGGAGAAGGAGCAGGAGAAAACTGGCTGCAGGAGGATAGTGTCTGAATAAAGGGGATTCTGCTGAGGAATCCAGATCAACTATCTGGTCTTCATCATCCGTCTGATACTCCAGGGTCTCGTCCGCAGGTGCTGAATTCTCTTCTTCGTGCGCCACAGTCTCCCTGCTTTTGTTTTCCTTCTCCTGAGGCCGCCTTTGCGACTTAGTAGGTGGTACGGACACTACCTGGGAGACGGTGACGCCTTGGACGTCTCCGGGTGGCAAAAAGGTAGTGAAAAAGTTTTCCGATTCATCCACAACTGTGCGGGTGACAGGAGTGGTGATGGCCTCAGAGGAAGGAGGAGGAGTGATGGGCCTCTCTTCAGGGGGCGCCTCCCACGGCGTCATTCCCCATCCTCCACTCAGTGACAGCTTTCCAGGTATTGTTACATCTGTCGGAAATGAAGTTGTTCCAGTTTTAGAATCAGAAACAGGTTTATTGCCAGGTTGGTTTACACATGCGGGGAATTTGCCTTGGTCTATATGGTAAACACATTTAAAGAACATTCATTGAAAAGAAAATGACGATTATAACAAAGACATATAGAGAAATATTAACAATAATATGTATAGATAATATAAATACCAAAAACTATGTAGAGTTTAAGTGTAATGTGAAAATACTCAGAATAATAAAATAATATAGGTGCAGTTTTGTTATGAAAAAGTGGAAAGCTGTGCAGATATCACAAGAGTAGCTTTGTATAAAAATGAGCTTTTCTTGCAGAAATTCCAAATGTGCATGTGACAACATTAGCTTTTACCTCCCCATGTTACACTACTCACCATCATAGGGCATGACAACTGTGTCACCCCACTGGTCCTCCTCTTTGATGTCCAGAACTCGATCGATTGACTTCTGAGCTGTTGTTAAAGCTTGTTTAGCGAAGCTGGACAGAGAGGAGTTGAACCAACTCATGTTGACTGTGTGGCTAGCTAGCTATCAGTAACTCCAGGAACTGTAACACGGATCTTAAAGGGGGATTGGAGTTAGCACATAAACCACAGTCCCTTTAACTATCTCTGCATTTCTTGAAATAAACGACAACCTAGTGAAAACACTATTACTATGTCAAGATGTGTTCCGGGATAAGCTTTGTTGACATCTAGCTACCACTTAGCTAGTTAGCCAAAGCATAGCGTCTGTGTACAGAGGAAACATCAATCCCAGATACAGTTACAGCTCGCAAACTCGTCAACTGGCATTCATATTAACATGGTTTCTAAAGTAGACATATAGGTACCTCTAATACCCTGCCTAAACTCTAACACCACGATCAGAGCAAACGCAGTTCCATGCCTAATCCAAGCTGTTTTCGGCTCCTTTGCTCCGCCTTCATCGTTTGTTTTGGTCGCTCTCAATTTGTAGCCACATTAGCATTAGCATGCTCGCCACTTCCTTTCCACGTAGCAGCGTGACGTCATGGTCTGACTAGTCTACTCTGCAGAGCGGAAGAAGCAAAGGATGTAATATAATAATATGTAACATGCAAACAGAAAAACAGATGTCTCGCCAATGGTTAGAATCTGCCAGGACTGAATTTAAGTCATTTAAATAATAAACAATATAGTTGAAATCTTGTGCAATAAACCTGCAATGTGCGCAATAGGCTGTGTTAGCATCTCTTATCATATTCATTTTTAGGTGTAATAACATAATTTGTATAATATCTCAAAACTTGAATAGGTTGTATTACTAATGTGTGCTTTTTCTCTGTATTTAACATGTTAGCTTGCTCTTTTATTGTCTGCCTTTTGTACCTGCTATGACACTTTAGCTGTAACACTGTGCATTTCCCTGCTGAGGGACTAACAAAGGAATTCTGATTCTGATGTGAAATTTGCCGGAAAAGCTGCAAGCCAGAGGACATTTGAAGTGGAATAATGCCTGTGATGGGCCTATATAATTTCAGTTTTGTCTTAAGGTGACCTCTTCATACTTCCATGAAGGTCACTTGTTGTCAGTGTTCATTTCTTGCACTAGGTGATATTCGGGGGGAAAGACAGAGTATGTCTTCTGAACTATGAATGTTTAACTATTTCATATATTTAACCTTCCCCTTATAGTACTTAGAAATACATAGATTTTATTAGCTCAATATTTGTTTGATATATAGTTTTTACTATTTAGGATGTTTAAGCTTAAAAACAAATGATCCGTCCATATTGACACATGGAAACACATGTCTAGTAAGGCCTAGAAATCACACACTAAACTTGCTAAGTAAATTCTTCTCATAAAGAAGATAAAGAAACAGAAACTTTGTAAGAAACAGATTTTTATTCCAGTTCACACATCATTATCTGTATCTGATGATTACCACTTCAGTGGGTACTGCTACAAAAAAAAACAGTTTTGGAATAAATAAATATTCAAAATATTGGAAACCAGAACATGTACAGATTCATATTTGCCAAAGTGACTTATTCTCGTCTCTTTGTTTGCATGTGTGTAGTGCAGATAGCACATGAATGCAGAAATCCCCAACGTCTGCAGACAATGTATCACCAAAAGATGACAAGGTATGAAGTATGATTTTGGCTTTACAGTGCAAGACATAAAGTCAATAAGTACATTAAAACAATGAAATTAGATAAACTCATTTACAACGTGAACGATTACACGGTAAACTGTTCTAGTTTTTAGGCCGTTTTTAAATATTCAGCATCAAGTCACAGTTGGCCAAGAAACCAGAATGACATGAACTGGCTGTGGAAGTGCTTGAATTCATCCTATAAGGTAAAGCTTAGTCTGAACAACATGGTCTGAGGTGTGGTGACATCAGCTACTGCCAGCTCCTGTCCGTCACTCAGCCCCAGATCTGGAAAAAACATGTTCATATAAACAGTGAGTCAGCATATTCACAGTCTCAGTTTCCGTTATTCAGAGTGTGGGCATAGCCATTCCTAGGAAACATATTCAGTAAACAAAACATCTCACCCTTGAGGGTTTTGGATAGATTTGGCCGCGTCCTCTGTTCGATTGAAGCGACAGACTGTAAAACAAAATACAAATTAGGCTTAAACCAACATTTGCATAATAATAATAATAGATTTAATTTGTTAGCGCTTTTACAGGTGCTCAAAGACGCTTTACAGATATAGTGAAGAGAAAATAAAATAAAGGAACAACAAATAAATATATAGTTAAAGTTAAAGTCAAATAATACAAAAACAATCACACATTAAAAGCCAGATTGAAGAGGTGAGTTTTTGTAAGTTTTTTTGAAGGTGGTGAGGTCAGTGCAGTCTCTGATGGGTTGTGGGAGTGAGTTACCTAATGGACCTAATGGACCTAATGGACCTAATGGACCTAATGGACCTAATTGACCTAATTGAGCCAGGAGGCATTAGACTCAAATACACTGCAAACACAAAACAGTGTAAAAAGGTTAATTACCTGTAAATATAATGTTTTGTTCTTTCCTTCCACTGTTGCGGTTATAGCAGGGGATTTCATTTGTCTGAAATACATATATTGTTGTTAAAGACAATGTCGAATGACACAATAAGCAAATATAACCATAAGCAGAACTTAATTTAGGATGGTACAGGGCAGTAATAAAACACAATAAGGCAACTTCACTTACAGGGAGGCACTTTCAGTCAGGAAGTCCAACAACTCCTGGAGTTTTGAAGTTGGAGAAAAGTGCAAGTCCAGAGGTACTTGGCTGCAGGCTGAACAGTCTTCCTGAATCAGAAGAAGAACATAAACGTGTGTGTTACAAAAAGAGGAGACTTTATAATTGTAGCAAACTTGAGCTGGCACGTGAAATTCAAGGACAAACCTTTCGTTCTGCTTCAAAAGTGTAGGTGTATAGGCCGTCAACATCATTGAAGACCATGTAGTTATTGAGAGGTATATATGCACTGCAGACGCAAAAGATAATATCATGAGGGAAAGTCGTGGGTTGTTTGTACAGGTCTTTACTGTGTGCATGTGTGTGCAAGCAGAACCTGCAAACTCACCTTGTTGCTAATTTGAAAACCTCAGTTGCGCAAGCAGCTGGTAAAAACAAGTCAGGGAAATAAAACAGTTATGTCCGGGTACACAGTTTATTCAGTACAGTTTGAAAATAATGTATCTTTTATATGACAGGGCTTACTTTCAGCTCTCTACTGACATGCCTTCACTTTTATTATGTCTTGCTACTTACCAGCTATGACAGCATTTGTAGACGCTACAGCTGGAATTATCCTCTTCACAACACCTGCAACATTTAATAAGGACATTGAAAATATGTTGTACTTACTGCTAAAAATAGACAGTAAAAAACACATTTAAAACATGCAATGTGTCTTATCTTTAAAAGAGAGGACATTGTGTTTTACAGACACAAACTAATGTATCAAACTCCCAAAGATAATTGAGCTGTGTTATATTATATTTACTTTGGTACTTTGTCTCCCAGCTGCAAGACAAAGCAACATGTTCTGGTGGTGACAGACAGAGGAGCCCTGAGTGCTTACCCTGTGTTAGTCTGTATGTGACTCCTGTGATTTTGAACTCTGCTGCCCTCTCCAGGGATCTCTGGTACACCCACTGGATGTGCTCTGGGTCATCCCCATCCAGGACCACACCATCTAATCCACACACACACATATAAAGAAGAACTTAAGTTAACCTTGTTTGTAAAGGTCCTGGGGTCCTGGGGTTACTTAATGATCGTTGTTCAAATAAAAAAACAGAATTCAACCGAAATAACAACTGTGGTGTGATTCTTACCTCCAAAGGGTGTCTCTTTGGGCCACTGCAGCATGCGGACATACTCAACACAATGTTCTGGCAAACGAGGCATGGAGGCGATTGTGCACATGGGGAAATTGATCTACAAAGACAAGTCAATTTTAGCAACAACTGGAGATTAACTGCTTCTGTAAGACTAAGTTGTGGTTGTTTTTTTAAATGCTACCTCACCTGAGGAGGGTAAAGTTCAAGGGTACAGTCGATGCAGGCGGTCATGCCCGGGAGAATGACTCTGGCGTTTCCTTTAAAGCCTTCAGTCCCACCATCAATGAGAGGAATGATGGAGCTTGGGTCTAAGACGCCATCATCATACGCCAGCAAAGACAGCTGCAGAAAGAGACACGGAGAGATTTATTTCAGAACGTTGTACATCTTTACAATTGTAAATGTAAGCATTGAAGATAAGAGTAGAGAATAAAAAGGACTGTGACAAAGATTGCAGTGAAGAGGGAGAACTCACCAGCATACCATTCATCCACCTCCTGGCAAGTATAGAGTCCAGGCCACAGACAATGATATGGAATTCTAGATGATAACAGGAATATGAATAAATACATTTGAACACATATCTGATATTGACAAAATGTCAGGATGCACAAAGTTAAAGCATTGTATGCACTATAGCGATTGAAAAATATAACACATTGTCATTTAAATCTTATCAGTGACTATGTGAGACGTACTGAGGAGAAGAAAAACAAGCAAGTTGCTAATCTTGTAAACAGCTGAAATGTGTTTCCCTTGGTTATTGGTGGTTTGTTTTTAGCAGAGAAAGTGAATGTGAGTTTATCAGACATCAAACTAAATAATAAACTGCCTAAATTGTTACACCCCTTCCACCCAGACATTAGGAAAGTTGGGTCTGAATAGTCTATAGATACTTACGTCTGTAGAAGGTTTCATCTAAGTCTTGGATTTTCTTAAAATGTCTGCACAAGAATTAAGGAGAATCTATGTTTGGACATAATGGTCCATTCATTTCCCGATGTAACAAGCAGGGTTCACCAATGATTTTCCATGACTTCTCCATGACCTTTACCTAATGTTCCATGACCAAACAAATAACTCTTTCTCAGCGTACCACTGAAAATGGTTTATTTTAACATGGAACAGGAACATAAGGTCTGCATATGAACATGTTGTGCCTATCTAAAACAATCAAATAGGCTTGCTAGCTTCTACACGCTAAAGCAACTCAAATCTCAGTTAAATGCCATTTTACGTTTCATTACTATACGATACAGTATTTATTATCATTATAGTATTACTATTTCGGCGATTAGATCAAATATAAATTATATTTGATGCAACTTTAGTTACATTTCCATGACTTTGGGACAAATATTGTTTTCCATAACTTTTCTAGGGCCTGGAATTAGCATTTTGAATTTCCATGACTTTTCCAGGTTTTTAATGACCGTAAGAACCCTGAACAAGGATGTTTCTATTCTACATTCTTAAATTGAGTTTTCCGACATGGGGATGAGCTGCACGCACCATTTGACCCCATGGATTGTGATTTGGGTTTTTAAACAATTGCATTGATATCAAGCATCTTACATGTTGCAATAGTTAAATTAAAAGGATACGGGACTACACAGCATCCAGGTATGCGGCTGTTGATGAAATCAGCTGCAACGTCCGCCTTGGGCCGACCTATATCTTT